GAATGGGTAAGACTTAGAGAAGAAGCAAATACACTTTTGCAAGGTATTTTAAAATTGCTAAGCTGAGTCTCTTTTCATCTCTGTGTTGCATGGTTGATTTAGTGATAAGACTTTCAAAAGCCAAGTCCTGCCAGCACATCTTTCATTCTTAGGGCTGTTTGTTGAGAGTGGCCTGCTTAGACATCTGTTTCCCTAACTGAGCAGTGTACACTTTGATGTAATCAAAGTTCCTTCCTCACAGTGCTTCCCCACCCCCATCCCCATGATGGTTTTTTTTGGTTTTTTTTAGAAGTGCTTCTCCTTGTAGTTAAATACCACTGTCTGTGCAAAAAAAATCACTTGGAGCAGAGCCCTTCTGCAGATCTGCATTGTAGTGCTAATAGATGTGGTGGTGGTTGCATCAAATCTCTGCCTAGGAAGGCAAATCAGAGGGGCAGCAGTAAAGCCTAAGCATCTAAAATATAAGTTTCACATCTATTTTAAAGCATGTTTGGGGCAAACAAATGAGTGCACAACCAGCTGTAATTTTTCTTGCTAATACTTGAGATAATAACCCTTAGTTGTACCTATTAATTTATTCGTTTGCATATCTTAATGTTTCATCATTAAATGTATACATTTGCCTCTGGTGTGGAAACAGATATATATAGCATAGTCAGAATGGTGCGAGTGTGAGAAAGGGCATCAAATTCCTCTTAAGCTATGAAACTTGAATTATACCATACAGACTATAAGTCACTGATACAGTTTGCCTTTTAATTTATGTTCCACTATTCCTTTCAGGAAAAAAAACACAAAAAGGAAGGAAGAGACTTTGAGTTCTGAATATTGGAGGTTTGTTATTGCAAAGGTGATTAAAAGGGCAGCAGGCATTCTGTTGTTCTGAGCTGTGCATGCTCTGACAGGAGTAAGCTCCTGGTGGTTTCCAAGGTCTTGAGTCAGTTGTTTGGAATGAGATAGGAATAGTTCCAATAAGCACAAAATCAGGCACTTGAAATTGTAGGTAGGATTTCAGTATTATGTTCGGGCTTTGTGAGACTCTTGAGTATGTTGCAACTTGGGCTTGCTTTGGTTTTTATATCAACAGGGACAGATTTGTTTGGACACATGGTTTGTGAAAAAGGCAGTAGAATAAGTATCTTATTCATATCTACAGTAGTTGGAATACTGAATGTTCTTTTGATTTTCCTACTTCACTTTTAAAGTGTCTTACCTGAGGATATACCAGATCGTGGCAGTTGGAGAATGATTTTTCCCAAAAAACTGTAGAAGTCATCCTTCAATACCTTTGGAAAAAAAGGGTGGTTTTGAGGAGTAAGGGTAAGATTTGGTTTAGGAAGCTTGCAAAGTTTGTAGCTTAGAAAGTTGATAATAAGTGATGTAGCTTTAATCCAGTGACTGTTTAAATCCTTCTCTAAGTAGACAAGTAGTTTATCAACAAAAAATCCCTAAAACATAAGAATTGGCAAATCTTTAGCTTTTTGCCAAAGCAAAAACTGAATTATAGAAAAAATCTAGGGAGATGCATAATTTAGAGTTAGCCACACCTACTTCTCTGTTTTCTCTGTCTCATTTTTCATTGTGCTTTGGAAAACTAAAATGGCCACACTGTCATTTGTTCCTTGCCTGTCATTCTTCAGGACACAATCTGTTTTATCTTCGTGGCCCTAAGAATACTGCCACTGGGTGTCTTGCAATTAAATGTCTCCAAATGTGAAAAATAAACCAAACCAAACCAAAGGCTTGGTGCTTACCTAACTCTCTCAGGGATACTTACCATTGAAATTTCCCTCTTCTGTGTGTGCTCCTGATTTGACTTGGCTGTTTTATTTAAGCAATTGTTTTTTACACAAACTCAGAACATATCATAGAGCTTTGGTAAAATGACTATGTTATAAAATTTAAATGAACATATCATAGAGCTTTGATAAAATGACTATGTTATAAAATTTAAATACATGACATGGCATCCTGAGGCATGGAATTAATCACTCACATTGTAAGTTTTTTAAATAGAAGGTGGAAATACTTCAGTATTAAAAAACCCCATTTGCTTCATTGAGCAAAATCTTCTAATGCACAAACTTTTGTTTTCAATTAAGATCTCAAGATTCTTTTGCATGGGATTTGTATCTAAATCTCTAAATTTTTATCCTAATTAAGCTGCTACTGTCAGTGGCTGCTTTAAATATTGGAACAGCTTCTGGAATTTACACCTCAGGAAGGGCAGCGATTCTCATTGGGAAAAGGTAAGTAGCTTTAGTTCCCACCACAGTTAGCCTTTCTGATTCTCTGTTGAATATTGCTGCTTGTTTAAAGGCATGGTAGTTACTGAAAACAGCTTGTAACAGTTAAAAGTGAGTATTCTGAATGGTTGGCAGAGATTGCTGCACTCAACATTTGGTCGCTGTTCGTTGCTCTGCTCGCCTCGGTCGTTTGTCACACTCTCTAAATCAATCTTGCTTTAATCCTGATAACATCTGTATATGTTGATTCAGTATCTGGAATGTCTTGGTATGAAAAATATGCTTTGCTCCAGGTTTTAGCACTTCTTTGCACATTTTTTTACCGTTTAGAGAATGTTTAAAACAAATTAGATTCAAAATGCAGAGTTGTAGAAACATCATTTTAATGCATCTTGTGCTTAGCATTGCAAAGTGACAAATGAAATGACAAAATGACAAATGACATACATATTGATTTTTATTTCAGTATTCACTAACCATGGAATGAAACCAACCTGAGACAATAGCTTCTTTTTGTAGTTTGTATTTTGACATAGGAAACAATGGAATTTTGTTTAGCTTTATATTTTTATATGCTCTGAAGCTCTTTGAGGATTTTACTGTTTCATTTATTCTGAAAGATTCAAGTCATATCAAAATCTGGTATAGAGTGATTTAAAATCAAAAAATCTCAGGCCTTACCTGAAGAGGTGAATATGATTTAAATGCAAAAATCAACTGATCTTAGTTGTGCTAGAATTTTGTGTAGTAGTATATAAGCACATTGCTAGTAATTTAAATCAGTTCTTTAATTAAGGTAGTTAAACAGCAAAGTATTTTCAAATAGAATAAAGTTTAGTATAGAATTTTTAGGTGATAGAGTTATTGGGCTTTTCTTATGGCCACAACAACATACAGAATGTTCAAGCATTGACAAATGAAATGCTGACATGAATGAAATGAAAATGAATGAAATGAAAAGTATTCTGTATATTGAGATGCATTTTGTTACCTATTTGGGAGTATTTGCTTTTGCATTATTTTTGAATTATTGAACTCCCCCTTCATTATGTAATAATTTAGGATGATTTTAACTGATAGTAGTCATTATTAATGTTTCAGAGTATTTCATGGGAAATAAAGCTCCTTTTTTTCCCTTAAATCAAATAAAATGAAGTTTTCCAAAGCCTTACGGCAATGATTCTTTCAAATAATAATAGTATTTTTATGTCTGGTGAGCAGGTGTCTTTTCAGGCTTTTAAACAGTTTAAAATTGGCACTTGCCTTGATGAATTTGCTCATTGATCAGAGTAGGCTTGCAGACAAACAAAGCACAGATTTCAGCTTACTGTTGCATCCCAAAAGCTAAATATTCTAATGTATTTCCTTCACCACCTCTGAAAATACTAGGATATTTAATGTAGCTGTGTATTTTAAAAGTATTTTACTGCATGTATAGTATTTTGCATCTCTTTTGGCAAGTTGTCTTTGTGTCCTTGCTCATTTTGCGTTTTGTCTCTGAAAACGATCCTCGCATCTCACAAACGTCTTCTCTCGGGAGGGATGAAGGTGAATGTTGTCAATGGTTTGGGAACAAAATGTCATTCTAGAAAGAAAATACAGCATGTGAGCATAATCTTACTTTGTAGGGATACTAAGAAATATATCTGACTGCAGACCATAGGTGCAGAGGAGGAGGAGGAGGAGGCAGCTCCTGTGAACTGAGTGCATTGTGCCTCTGTCTCTCTGGTGTCACACACTGTGTGCTGATCTCCACAGCAGTGATTTGGGCTTTGTATTGTCAGTGGGACATTGTCATTGTTTCAACTATTACCACCACTATTTGGGCTGCTAGCACTTAGCTGGAATACTGGTATTTAGCTGGGAGTTTGCTAAAAAAAACCAGCTATGTGGGATGCCAGCATTGGCTGCTACACATGCTACAGAAATATATGAAACCAAACATGTTGGAATCTGGTATTTTATTCTTCATAATAGTCTGGTTGTCAACTACTTTTTAAGTTTATGCTTAGTGTTGTGTCCTAAGTGTTTGTCATTAAATAATCTAAGCAAAATTCATTGTGTATATAGATACCACAAACATTGTGAGGTAAAGACACATGGAGAGAAAGTATTGTCAACTGTGTGTTCAGATGCTTGAGAAAGCACAAGACAACTCAAACACGTTTTGTCTTTACTACCTTTTTAAACATTGAATTTCCAAAATTGCTAATTCTATAATCCACTACTTTGTCTTTACTACCTTTTTAAACGTTGAGTTGCCAAAATTGCTAATTCTATAATCCACTATGCTTTTTGAGGAAGACAGTCATCTACACACCTGTTTTCTTTGCAGAAAATACGTTTCCTCAAGTGCCCTTTGTTCCTCCTTTAGAATCACCTAATAATCTTTCATTCCCTGCCCCCAAGCACTAGTGCAGTATTTCAGCAGGGACATGTCACTTCCCAGATTGCACAGAACAAAACCCATCATGTACTCAGTATCCACTAAAAGCCTGACACAATCTCCTGTTTCCACTTGCAGCAAACAAACTTCTAAGGAGCATTAGGTACCTGAAGATACCAGCACAATTTTTTGTTAGGATAGTAAATGCCCACATCAGTTACCCATTTCCTAGGATTTCATAAGTAGTACATCAGTAGTCATTGACTTGTGCCAAGTTATTGACACACAATTGGGCAGGAGCTTCCTGGGTAGGAAAATTACTATACCTGGTGTAAGCCTTTCACAGCTTTTTTACTTTGTTTCTCAAGGTACATATCTGTATTTCAACAAAGCTCTCTAATTTGCCACGTATGCTACACTGTAATTTCCTCTGGCTGCTAGGTCAATACTGATTTGGGATTGTTGCTTTTAAAACAGCAGGAGATGTCATAGAAACTTTTTTATTTTCCTTGACCGGAGCATGTGCCAAGTGCTGGGTTAGGAAAATACCTACAAAATACATTTTCAGGAGCGCTAAACCTAAGAAAATATGATCCTTCCTCTGCCCCCAGCACACACAGATTGTCTTATGAAATGTGTCTTTAAATTGTCTAATTTATCTTTCGTGTCAGTATCAAGGAGATGCAGCTCTGCCACTAAGTGTTGTTCTACAGAAAGTCTGTGCTGGTTATAACTGGTGGTGGTAAGAATGTACTAAGGAAAAATTGCCTTCTAAGACTAAGCTGCAGTTATGAGGTAAGGCATGCTTTGCTCATTAACCTTAATTAAACTGCTCAGTTAAAATTTCTCAAAGGATTAAAGCAATGGGAATCATTACAAGTTTTGTGATTCTGTCTTCTGGCTGAAATTTCTCTGTATGAATAAGCAGTTTCAAAAGTGTTGTTAGCATTGCTATACGTAGAGAACAAGGCCACTCAGACTTGGTGATCCAGTTTCAAAGCAGTAAGCAGGGGAAAAAGAACATCAAAAAGGATCAGAGGACTGTGTAGTTCTGCATGTGATCCTTCTAATGAGTATTTTCAAGAACAGTGTTGCTGAGTTTCTCTATGAAGTAGGTATTGAAAGTAAAATAATTAAAATTTGCCATTTTTTCTGTATGTAGGAATCTGAATATTTCAGGACCTTAATGTTGGGATCAATATTTATTTTACATAGAATCTTATTTCATTGAAATTTCATATGATCCTTACGGAGTGAGGTAACCACATTTTAAATATGTCAGGAACTGTCATCAGTTACTGTCATTAATTGTGTCAAGAAATTGCTTTGCAAATTGGTTAAAATTCTTGCTTGGATCTGTGTGGTGACTTCTGTATCCTTATTCCCAAATAACAACCACATTGTCACCCAAGGCTATTGTGCCTTTCACTCAGATTGATGCACTGGTGAGCTAGAGCATTTCCCAGTAATCATTTCTGACCTGAGAACAAAGAAATTCTTTCAGTCACTTAAAAATCATGAAAATCATGCAGTCTGATGTGAGGCAGGGGGAAAGCCACAAGTTGTACATGGATAAATTCTCCATTGGTGTGAGTGCTGGGACTCAGATGCTTGCATTTGAACTGGGATAACCTGTGTGCCAAACATCTGTGGTGTTATTACTGTTTTCATTGCACTTACTTTTGCTGTGTCTCTCCTGCTTTCACTCTTATTGCCTTCACTATAAGTCCTGGTCGACGGGTGCCTTTTGTCCATGGCATTATGGTTTGAACTGTGTCCCAGATGTTTTCCCAAACTGGAGTTCCTTCCCATTTGAACTTGATCATTATTAGGTCACCAATATCAGTGTCCAGGGTAATGAGAAAAGAGTAGGTTTTATTCCCAGTAATACCTTCAGCTCTACAGAAAACAAACCCAGAATAATGCTATCTTAGTTATTATGCATTAAAGTGAGAAAAATAGGGTTTTTCCTCTTTAAAGCCAAACACAGATCCTTTTCTGGGATGAAACATTACTGTCTCTAGAATACTTCTCCTGCAGGTGCATAAAGTGGTGAAATATGACAACATGCTAGGAAAGAAGCAGAAATGGGAGAAGCTTGAACAGATGGTGAAGCAGTAGTGGTTTCTGATGACAAGAGAAAAGGTATCCCATAGTAGCATCTATGTTACATTTTTTTGTCTGCTAGAGCAAATGCTGACCCACACTGCTGTCTTTGCTTTTTTTCATGTAGATAGTGTCCATCATGATAAATATCTAAAATTCTTTACCTTAATTACAGCTGACTCTTTATTTGTGTTTGAATTGATTAGATCTCTCTGTCTTAGCCACGGGATGGTCCAAACATAAGTGGATAGGAAACTTCCAAATGTACTGTTTGTTTTGCAGAGGGTTTTGCTGCAAAAACTGTATGAACATGGTAAAACTTGTGTATGAGTGAAGAGAGGACAATTTCCAGTTCATCTTCACTTAGCTGTACTAGACCACTTCACTCATAGCATGATTATCAACCTGATACAGGATTACAAGTTGGCACCTTTTCTCATGTGACGCATGATATCCATACTCACAGTGGGATGGGTAAGTTTTTAGCATCCTCCTTAGTCCCAGTCAGAGACATGGTAAATGCTGGGTCTATCGGCCTGCCTTGGATTTCATTGATGATGTGGATCTTGAACTGATAATGGTACACTGTAGAAAGGAACAATTTCCAAAGTGACAAAATTAATAGTCAAAGAACCAATAAATTTCTTAGGCAAAAGAATTTTGCCTTTCAGAGCAGAAACTTGGTTGTTATTCTATTTTATATTTCAAATTTAGGCAAAAGAATTTTACCTTTCAGAGCAGAAACCTGGTTGTTATTCTATTTTATATTTCAAACTAATTTGTTGAAATTCAAGCATCATCATTTTTTCTGATTGTTGCTGTGCTGTGTAATCCCTTTAGGGTTTGAGGCCCTGTTGCTCTGTTTAAAAGGATGGAGAAGAAAGGTAATCTGGGTTGAATTTCTTTTTGGGATAAAACATTCTTCCATGGAAAATATTTCAGCTTTTCTGAAGTTTAATTGTTAAGAATTTCTATCCTAGTGACCAGACAAGTCCTTGTGACTGGGCATGACTAGAAATGTGTGATCTAGATCGAAGACCTTATGACATGTGGTCAGGCTGTTTCTCTGATCAGCTGGAAAATTGCTCTGCAAAACAGATGACTCACAAACTTTCCTTGGCTGCATAATGATACATTGTGCTTAATGCACATCCCTTAACAATATTACTTTGTTCGAGCACATTGCTGTAAGAAAGATGTCATTAATGCTTCAGGATTTGCTGAGTTTCTAGAAGAACAGTGTTTAGGAAAGTCTTTGGGCTGAGTATTGTCAGAATGGAGATTGCCTAAGAAGGTATCAATGTGCTGACTATGAGCAGTTTGATATTTTGTAACTTATGAAAACAACCAAGACCAAACCAAGAACTCACAGAGTATGTGCACACAGTTGCTATCAGCTGGATTTGAATGGCCGAAACTCTTCTATCTGGTCACTCTACCAGCCATCTTTCAGACAAAACTGATAGACCTGGGTGTTAAGGGACATTACTGCACACTAGTTTTTGAGTAGAAAGATGCTCTTTTGTCTCCACACCCACTTCAGTCTTCACTACATCTGAGACTGGCTCCATACTGCTAAGGGAATCATCTTCTTATCTACATGGACAGATAGATTATATTATTTTTTGTGCAGCTCAGTGTGTTCACAATGGAAGGTATTTGCTAGAAAAGCTGTATTTTGTGGTTTTTTCTACTTGTATGTTAAAACCCAAAATATTTTCCTTTGAAAAGGTGTCACTCAGTAGAAAACAAAATGATTCTTTGCTGCAAACCTGATAAGAACAAAAGCAGAGAGGCTTGTTTACAGATAACTTTTCTTACTAATCTGTCTTTCTCTGAGTTTTCTCTCCAGGAAAAAACTGATTGTCCAGCATATGTTCAGAGACAGCCTAGGCTTTTGCTGTGGTTATGGTGCTCAGTTTAAAGAAAAAAGGTGAACTTATTCATATCAAAACTCTCACTCCCATATCAGCTTTATCATAAGTGTTAACTTCTTTATAACTACTGGGGTTTTTGTTTGAACTGCATTAATGTATGCTCCAGAATATAATGCCTTTAACTTGAAAATGAAAGGTCAGATTTTGCGAAGGCACAGAGGCTTGTGAAGTGTAATGTTGAGTTTCTCAAATTTCTTCTGTTCTGGGCTTCTCACATGGTCCTCAAACATTTTTTTAAAAGCATTACAAAGATGACTTTGTAATCACCCTCCTACAGTTGCTGCTTTGTTTGGGAACTTTTGTGAAAGGAAACCTTTGTCTGGGGCACTGTTACTCGCATATGTGCCAAGGATGGTTTTTAATGCAAAACCAGCACCAAGCATAAAAATGCAACATGTTTAAACTGAAATTAAAGCCAGTGGGACATAGATATTTTAACACAAGCTGAAACTAGCTCAGTGTCCGGAGAAGACAACCCAGGGATGGCATCTCTTGCCCAGGTGTGGTGGCAGCAGAGTCACTCACTGCCCTGATTCTGGCAAGGACCTGATGGCACTGCAGGAAAATAACACTGAGAACTAGACACAGCCTCTAGAATTATTAAATCTGCTTGAATTAACTTCCTGAGCCATTTTGAACTGTGTGAAGAAGATTCAACTGCTCCCAGTATCACTCAGGGCTGACCAGTCCCCTCTGGAGGCATCACTGAACATTTCACAGCTGTGTTGGGGGAAGACTTCAAAGGGAGACACGGCTCAGTGAGGAGGGAGAGATGCCTTAGTGAAGAGGGAGAAACACCTCGGTGAGGAGGGGGTGACACCTCGGAGGAGGGAGAGACACCTTGATGAGGAAGGGGAGGCACCTCAGTGAGAAGGGAGAGACACCTGAGTGAGGAGGGGGAGACACCTCAGTCAGGAGGGGGAAACAGGAGGGGGAGACGCCTCAGGGAGGAGGGAGAGACACCTGAGTGAGGAGGGGGAGACGCCTCAGGGAGGAGGAGGAGACAGGAGAGGGAGCCAGCACAGTGAGGAGGGGGAGACACCTCAGTGAGGACGGGGAGACCTCAGGAGAAAGAGACACCTGGGTGAGCAGAGGGGAGATGCCTCAGTGAGGAAAGGGAGACGCCTCAGTGAGGAGGGGGAGATAGTGAGGAGGGGAAAAAGCCTCAGTGAGGAGGAGGAGACAGTGAGGAGGGGGAGATAGTGAGGAGGGGAAAAAGCCTCAGTGAGGAGGGGGAGACAGCATGCAAGTCATGCCTCAAGGACAGCTGTGGAAGGAGGTGGTGAGGAGTAACCTCATGCACCAGAAGTCCCTGCAGTGAAAGCCCCTTGGGGCAGCATGTCCCTGCCATGAATCCCACATAGTCCTGCTCGTTCTCACTTTAAAAGGTACGTAAACCTTGCCACTCACAAGCCCCACAGCAGCCACCCCATGGGCTGAGGCAGAGCCATGCCCAACACTGCCTGGCTTGGGATGGAGACTGGCAGAGAGGTCCTGCTTCTCTGCTTCATCTGCTCATACGTTCAGGAAACCACATGGACTTGTCCCCCTGAGCCTAGAAAATTGTGACTCTGTGCTCTCAGCGAAGTAATTCAGTGAATATAAAGCTAGAGTGCCGGTCTCTTTATTTTAGTGCTGCAATTCAGCCCTGTAAAAGTCCGTGGTATTGTCTGTCCATTGTTTGAAAAGTAGTAATTTATATGTCATCTCGTAGGCTAATTGCAGATTAAATTTGGGCAAACTCGGAACAGGACGTTTTACAGGCCTCCCAGAGCAATTATGCTGCTTGCTTGGCTTGGCTGTGTGCCTGCATATGTTACAACAAACCTGCAGAGCCAATTGAAGGAAAATCCTGCAGATCAGGCCCCCAAGCATCTCTGAGGCCTCGGATCCACAGCTAGCCTGGGGCAAGTATGCCCCATGCCTTTTCCCACAGAAATATCAAGAGCCAGGATGCTAATAAAAGGGCATCAGGATGGCCCACCAGGATTCTCAGTTGTCTCAGCAAATTGATTATTCCCACAGATTTTATAACCTTTAACGAATGAGTAAATAGAATCACAAAGCTTAGGTGCATCCTCCCATTTCGTATTCCTTCTAGACACTGCAACAAGTATTCCCACAAACCTTTGAAGGGCATATGTGCTCTTGTTTTCAGAAAGAGCTGTCTGCTTTTTGGGACCCTTTCCTCCCTGATGTTGTAGCCCAGGCTGTTGCACCGGTTCTTCCTGCAGCTGAGGCACAACCCTTTGTTGAAAGTGTTCATGTCGTTGCACCAGTAAGCTGTGCTTTGCTTATCACTGTGCAGCAGAGAGTCGATGAACAAATGAACTGACCTCTCATGGGCACATTTCACAGTTTGAGTGATGCCTGAAAAAACACAAACAAGAAAATTTTACATGCTCTTATACTGCAGATGAGTACTGTGACCAACTATAAACATGTCATTTTTTTTTCCCCCACCCTTTTACTACCCTTACATCATGGTTTTGCCTCAGAAATCATGCATGGTAGCAATTTTACTTTTGGGATCATCCAAAAATAGCAAGGCTGAACCCCCATGATAATAAAATTAAATAATTTACTTCCTAAACTTCTCTAGCCTGACTGTATCGGACTGTAAATATGAACCTTGATTTCATTGTCCCGACTGTTTTGGTCAATATAAAATACAACATGAGGTGATATGAAGTCTTTCAGATCATACTGTGTTAAATGCAACAGTCTCATTCTGAATGGTTGAACACTGTTGTCTTTTGGATGCTTGTGCAATAATATCATATTTTGTCCCTTTCAGAGTGACAAACTCATGTTGAATTGAATTACTGGGGATAAAGAAGAAAAAAATTATTGAACAGATAAAAAAATATTAAATACATAGATCTGCTGTTATGAGAAGTTTCTTACATGTCATCAAATTACAAAAATTACTTTGTGTAATTGGGATATATTGTGATGGGCTGTTTTCATATGTCCACTGATAAGCTTTGGTTTCATGTTTGGCCATGAATTAACTACTAACAAGTAAGACCTACTTTTAGGCAGTGTGATGATGGTTGAGAAATACTTTTGCAGTGCAGTGTGCTGGGTGAGCAGTGATCTGTTGGGGCTTTCAGTGAGCAGTTCTGGTTGTCACTGTGCATCAGGACCTTATCTTTTTTCAGTATGTTGCATCAATTTCTCTATATGTTTATGTTTAGGTACATTGAAACAAGCTTCTATAAATAAAACCTAGCCTGGAACACTGGCAGTCAGATCCCAGAGAGAGCATCATCTGTGCAGCTGAAGGACAGGGAGTTGAGGAAGGGTGAACTAAGGAGGTGAGTAGTACAAACCTGTGTTTTATTTGAGTTGAAATAATTAATGGCACACTAGATGAATCTGGCTTAATTAGCAAAAGTTTTCTTATTTCCTCTACTGCCAAAACAAATACCTTTGGAATTATTCAGAGGTATTTGACAGCAGAACACTTACGGCCTCATTTTCTGGAAGTGCTAGGTAGCCCAATTCCTTACTAGAGTAAGTAAAACCAGTTTGAACTTAATGCATGCAAAAATCAGGTAACCAATTTCTAGACAAGAAATTTCCTTGCATATATAAGGGGCAATAATAATGCCACTAGGTGCTGTTCAAGACCACAGTTTCCAGAGTTTCCCAGGGACAGTCAGTGCAGCTGCAGCGCTGCCTCTCGCGTCGTGCCGTTGGTCCTTACCAGTGATCCCGTACTGCGCGATGTGGTTGTACACGTGCATGATGTGACAGCCAGGCTGGAAGGTGCCTCCATTGGGGTAAAAGTCAAAATGAGCCACAGGTTGCTTGATGCCCACACTGAGACCCATGTGCTGTTTAGTGAAGGTATGAATTGCGTCTACAAAGTTTGCATCATCTGGAGATAAACGGTCTGTGGGTGACATTCCTTCGAACAAGGGACCAGCAGGGTCAAGGCCTGCAATAAATGCAAATAATCCCGTTGCCATGCAGTGCAGAAGGACTGTTCTACTGCTGTAAGGAAAGTCTGTGATAAATGTTTCAAAGCAGACAGCACTGGTACTTTGCAAGGTCTTTCCCTGATGGAAACAATGCTGAGAACATTTGTCCTGCAGAGGCTACGTGGTTACACCAGAGAGTAAAGCAAACAGATGCTGTAACAAACACTAACTGCTACCTGCACAAGGCCACAGGCCCAGAGATAGATGTGTTTGTCGTAGGCAAACTGCGCTCGCTGCCACAGTGTCGCTCCAGGGGTGTTTGCATAATCCTGTTCTTTCAAACTCTAGAGGTCATGTGTTTCAGAGACCCTTTTGAAGACACCAGTCCCACAACAAAGTTGACTTTTAGCCTACATCCGGGACATGGAACTTTTTAAAACATCTCTTGTTGCTTAAAAGGGCTCTATGTCTGCTAGATTTTCTTTATAATCATTTTTCAACTTGAAAGGTCTTCAAGGCAGATTATTATGGTATTCAGAGAAAAAAGTATTCCATTTAGGGAGCCTTGTTGATTTTTATTTGCTAGGGTTTTTTTGTATGGAGCTGCTCTTGGTTGGGAATTGATTTATGAAAGAGAACTTCGTGCCTAGTTTACAGCTACCTTCAATTTCAAGGACACGCTTCTAAATTTGAGTTTCTTCAGTTGGTACTATGGAATAACATAGTGGCATAGATGTAACCAGACAAGACTAATAACACACGCTACAAGTAGGGAAGTCACCCTGAAGGCATACATTTCCTTTTAGTTTTAATAACTTTTATCACTATCCATTTTTGGAGCTTATTGTTACAAGTCTAAGTAACTTTTGCTGAAAAATGCATATAGCTGTAACAATCAATAGTGTGATTTCATGGTTTTACTTACCCATTTTGAGGTTTGATGTACTAATGTCGTTTGAACAAGCAGTGCTGGGGAACTGGAGTCCTTCAGTGTATACACAAGTGTAATATCACAACATATTTTGTAAAATCAGCTTCTTGGCATGCAGACATTGTCACAAGAGCTGATTGTGTAAGGGGCCTGTGGCATGTGGCAATGAATCGAGATCAGAATTGTGGCTTCGAAGTACAATCATGCATATTTGCCCCACTCCTAAATCTGATTGAAGTAAAAGTTTTTTTTATGATAAATGAAACGTGGCCAATGTAAGCCTTGTGTAAAATGCACTTCTGTTTTGGTTTCATTTCTTGTTTTTTTAAGCTGCTGCTGTGCATTAGATGAGCTATACTATACCATGTGTCAATAACATTATAAATGTATTTTCATTATACTCGTAATCAGTACAGTTGCAAAACATTACAGAAGGTTCAGAATGCCACTAGTCAAAACAATCAAGTGTTAGGGTTAACTTTGTTTACTTTAAGCACCTATTAGGGATACTGCAATGATCTACTTCTTATAAAATATAATCCACAGGAGAGCTGATTGAATTCACTCTATGAGCAATGTACCACAACTGAAAGCTCAAACACAGACAATTTCCTTGGTTTATGGTTTGTAGTCTTCACACTTGTATATTCTCTATGTTATAATTTGGACTGAGGTAGGAAAGAGCAAAGAAAGAAATACTATGAGGCTTAATTTTGAAAAGTGTTTTCATTAAATTTTCTAAATCTAGTTTCTAAACCAATGGGATAAACCTCCTAAACTGTGGCAAATATTGCTATTCAACAGCTAATGGTCAATATGACATTGATATGTCCAATACCTGCTTAACTTAATTCAGTTGACTGTTATATTTCATATAGTTTTAAGTCTTTTACCTGTAATTCTTCCAATCTTTTTTGTACCACCGATAAAACTTCCAGCAAATCCTGAAACATGAGCTCCTAGGCTGTACCCAATTAGGTGAGCATTGCTTCTGGAAAATTGAATGGATTCCTGGAAGACAGTGGCAACGTGATTTAGATGCAGGAAATGTGAAAGGTAAACGGTGAAATACTTACTGCAAGCAAGGAATACAATGAGTTACAACACGAGAAATGTGTATGTTGATGATGGTGGTCAAATGAGGTGCATGAATCATTCACTAAATTTCTCCATTGAGAGTTATTCCTTGCTTCCTTTTCATGCAGCAGGAAAATGCCACACATTTGGGCACTACTACTTATCTGCTATGCACAGGAGAACCACCAACACAGATAGCAGGAGTTTGGTTGCTGTTTGTTGCAAGTGATGCAAACGTGCATTGCCTTTTGTCTGCAGCATTTGACTTTCCTGTGACTATGAAATGGGCATGTCCTTTAACTTCAGGGTAAAACAATCCTCTATGGAAAGTGCCTTCTTTTTTTGCCTGCGACACTAGCACAAGCCAAACTAGAAGACAAGGTATCAAAACATTGATCAGACATGTTAGGTGATACAGCAGTGATATTCTTGGACTGATTTGTACAAAGCTGAGTGCCTGATCTGAAACAAATCTATTGAAGCAGAAATGGCCTCAGGCCCCTCTTTCTCCCTAATCAATACTATCTACATCTTAAACATTCCACCTGAACTTCAAGGGTAAAAGTTTTTCTGACTTGTAAAGAAAAATGTGGCATATTTTGCTTGCAGGAAAGGCAAACCTCTCTTTTAGTTTCCTTGTGGATATCACCTGTCCCAGTGGAGTGGCTGTGCAGTCTTTATTCTGAAGAGAGAAGCAGATTTTAGGAAACATCAGATCTTACCAATTATCTTGTCAGGTGGTGTTATGATGGATCCTGTTGAGGTTGTTATTGATCATGCCCTATCAATGCTTGGACTAGGAGCCCTAATATTTACTTATTGTTCATTCTTTATTAAAATGTTGTGCAGCACTGCAGGTTTTGTTACATCCATTGAGAATATTTCAAATAATCACCTGTCTGTAAGTAGACATAATCATAGCAGAAAGATAGTTATGGGAGTTGGAATATAGAGGTTTTTAGCTGTTAAACTCAGGAGGGGTGTTCTCAACAGAAGGAAGGTTTACTGGTTGATCATACTCAATTTAATGCTGTAAAAACTCATGGTGTATTTAAATTTTAGAACATACCATGGTACAAGAGAAGTTACCTACAATTCTGGAGCAAGGAGTCATTTATTCAAGCCACTATTTGTTTGTTGACACTAGAGAAATCACAGATTGTTTTTATTGTTGACAGTGTGGTGTGTCCTCCTGGGAACTGAACAAAGTACACTGTTTCGTTCATTCGATAATTAAACAGCTTCAAAAAATTACTTTAGGCTCCAGCAACTTAAACTACATTTGACCAAGATCTAAGCTTTCTTGTAATGTCACAATGAAAAATAGTGACTCTTCTGCCTTCTCTTTTGTGTCTGTTGTATGTGACAGCTTTCTCTAGCCCTGCCACTCCTCTTAGAAACAGTTTAGACCTTCAGTGGTATTTGCTACAAGTCTTTCAGCCTCACAGTATATTTCTCTTCCATCATAGGCCTCACTGTATTTACGTTAATGTATTCAAAAATTTATTGCCAGGTACAGAAGTAGAATTTCATTTCAAATTATGTACCTTCAATGAGTATTAGAGATTGATGCAGTAAGAGTTGCTTTGGGTTCCTAGTTTGTATGAGTGATTCTCATTCTAGTGTTTGCTTTCTGCCTTTTCTTAAATAGTGCTGGACACTAGTGATCCTTTGCAGACTTGTCTGCACCCTTTTCAATCCAGCTATGGCCACTGCTCCCCATGTAGCAGTTTTGAAAAGTAGTCATTGCATTAGTGTGGCTCTGTACTCACTGCTGCCTCCATGTCATCTGCTTTGTGAAGCATATCTGTCCTCCTGAAAGGTCTCCCTTTACGTTCTGTTTCTCTAAGCCATTATTTTAGCATAATCTTTGGGAAACTGGGCAAAAATCAGGCACAGTGTACTGACTGAGTTCTGCATTAAAAGCAGAAGTTAAGCACAGATAACATAAGCCCATTTTACTGAACTAACAACTTGCAAATTATAATGTCTGCTTGCTTTTACTGTGGGACTGTGTCAGCTGTCTACACATGCTAATGGAAAAGCTAAAGTAGCAGGAAATTCTCTCACCTCTAAAGATAAATAAGAATATTTTAATAACCAAGACCACTTGCTTTTGTCTCCTGCATGATGAAACTTCTATGAAGTAATCTGAAAGTTTATGGAAGAAAAATTTGCCCTTTATTAAAGAAGTGTAAGTGACTGAAATTAGCAGCAATAGCCAGCACAGTATTTCAGAAAGGTTGTAGAGGCATAAGAACAACTAAATAGGTCTTTTCCAGGGAAATGTGTTGATCTGTGGGCTCTTACCTCCAACCATTCCAGGAATTCTGCTATCTCCTTTCCTACATAGCGTGTATTCTGCACAGCAATGGGATAGTGCTGGTGAGCCAGTGTAAGCCAGTCTGCAACAATCACATTCATTTGTTTATGCTGAGACTTCAGAGCTGCTGCCATTTTCCAAATCCAACCTTCTAATAGCCCATCCACCTGTTATATTTTAAAAAAAAGAAAAAAAGAAACCCATTTTTATGGAACAGCATTCTCTGCCAAAATATTTCTTGTGAAAAGCTCAAGGAAACAAAACCATAATATAAACAAGGAGGGCTTAATGCTGATAACTAGATTTTACACAGGCTTCAGCCTGATTCAGTGCTGGGAATCTTTGGGGTTTGGTGGGGGAAAAAAAAAAGAATCAAGATAAGAATTATCTAATAATATATGTTTTATTGTGTTAACTCTCATCAGTGAAAATTAATGTCCAAAAATGTGTTAACTAATCTGGAGATAACTGGTACTACTGGTTAAAAAGAAAGTCAGAAGTTCCTAGAAAATTTCTGGTTTCATTCAAGAGCAGCTGTTCCTGTAAATTTAAGAGTTTCAGAGGATTGCAGCCAGTGAGCTTTCACCTTCTATAGCTGTTCCATTTTGAGAGCTGCTCTTTTATGAGTTATTCTTTTAAAAATACCTGATCACAATTTTCTTACTTGCATCATAGTGTGTTTCTGACTTGGTGGACTAGAATTATTATTTAATCTGTTAGATTTAATTGTTGTTCTAGTTGCATGTATTTCCTCAATTGGTAACATAGCTCTTCTGGTGTGACAGAATTTGGGAGTCTAAGGTCTGGGATTCCATACATATTCCTCTAAGAGTCCAATGCCTCTGCAAATCAAGTTTATATGAATGGTGAATTTCAGTGGCAGCAGCTAGAGATCCATGGTTTGTCTGTGAGAAGGGTATAGGTTTTGAACAAATTCTTATTTGTGAGGCTTGGTTAAAGTAGTCTAGGGCAATATTTCACCCAGAGTCAGCTCTGCTCTTACTTTTTAAGAGAGTTATGTGCTTCAAGAGAGGTGTTCAAAGTTTCTCTGCATATTCACAGATGTGCAAGAAAGATCTGTTTCACCACCTTATGTGATCACATTGGTTCTACAAGAATCAAGGACCTATTAAAAAGCTGATGGAAAGTCACTCTTAGTACTGCTATGCTTTTGAGAAAGGTTTTTCATGGTGGATTGTTTTTCTACAGTTTAACTGGAAGCAGTTCAGTGATAATTCATTGTTGTTGAAGGCTTCACTTTCAGCTGGAGGAGCTTATGGAGAAGCTCTGTATAAAGCTATATCTATAAGAAAGATGTGGGGAGATTGTGTGCACTTCTTTTCAATAAGTCTAAATATTTGGCAGTGAACACATCAGAGAAATGAAACTGGTATTCAGTCCTCCAGAGGCACAGCACATTAATTCAGGTACTTGTTTGAGCTCTACTGGCTTTAAACCAGGGCTGAATCTAATCCTTGGCATGGGAGTCCCATATGAAAAATTGCTTATAGACTGTTCCTTCAGAATCTATGGGGAATATACACTCTGTATTATTTCTAGCCATGATTGCTACTGGGGAAATCTACCATCTCTGTAATTACAACCTTACTTCTGAAGTTACTTTTGGCAGTAGTATGATGAAAAGTGTATCACATTAGATGTAGTTTGAATTAAAAATAAAAGGTGAGTTCATACCGACCAGCCATGGACTATTATCGCCAGAGGAAGAGAAGCATTGAAACTGCATTGGTCAAGAGTCTCCAACTGATTTAAAAAAATTTGACAGTCGCGTTCAGTTGTATCTGTATAGAGTCGAAATTTGGTTTCTAAGTTTTGCTGATTTTTCTTTGTTCTAGGGTGTTCACTCTGTGAATCCAGTGCCTCTGAAACGAAATTTTTAACAACAGTCATAATAGGAACCTAAAAAAACCTGAAGAAGTTACTTGTGCAGCACAGTTTGTAAGGCAGAGTAAACTAGTAAGCTTGGAACTCTAGTTATGACCCTTTTTGGGTCAAAAAAGTGATCCTGTTCAGAGTCTGAGATGGCCTAGAGGTGCCTCTCAGTCTCTTTATTTGAACAGTAACAGTTACACAGGGAACACTGATCTGATTGCCATGGGCCTTTATAGAATGCATAAGTACTGTAAAAAATAGAATGCACAAGTATTGTAAAAACACAGTAGAGCTGTCATGACTTCACCATGTTAGGGGCATGCACAGTCAAGAACAGTCATAGGCTCTTAACTCTGCAGAGCATTTCTACTAATGTGCATTCGCTAGTAATTGCTGAACAAGCATCATTACACTAAAATAACCATTTTATTCAGGGTTATAGCTCTGCTTGGAGACTTAGGTGACTGCATAAAACCATTAGACCACATCATCAATTATTCTTTTTCTCTGAAAAGGCAAGATGAAGTGTTCTAGTTGTAATATTTTTGGTGGTTTTGTTTCTAGATGAAATAGCCTGGTGCATTTATGACAGCATATTCAGAAATGTCAACTAAGTAAGAAAGTGGGGGCAGGGTGAACTGTGGCCTTAACATGATGAGCCTAGAAGGAAAAACATGAATATAGAGGAATTGCTGAAAAATTGAGTAAAACAAAGCAGAAGTTTACAAAAAGCACCTTGTGACATGCAAGCCTGGTGTTTCTTTCTAATAAGACTTCAGACTGTTTATTTAGCTGAAAAAAAATCCATATAATAAATTATTACTTAAGCTGCAAAAAATGGGGATTAGTAGAAGAGTAGTAGACAAGAAGAACTAGACAAGAGAGAGGTTACAGTTCCTAGTGCTGGAAAGGAAACATTCAAAGTGGAGAGAGTTTACTAACAGAGTTCCTTGGGGACAGTTTTTTGGCTAGTCTTGTTTGAATATTTTCATTAAAGAAGCAGACAGGAAAGGCACAAGACTGACAAAACACGGGAGGCATTTGCTGATACTGAGGTGACCCAAACATTAAATATTAAGAGTTAAATGACCTTGAAAACACATCAAGAGAAAAAAGTAGAAGTTTCCTCCTATGAAGTGCAAGGTCATAAATTGATAGGAGTTTCTCTATAAATGGGGCTCATAAATTGGAAGTGACATAAGAGTAAAAAAAAACCCTGACTGTAGTAATCAATAACAAAACAGACTGTGAGTCACTGCTGGGATTTGACTGTGAGAAAGGCAAATATAATTCCAAGATGCATTAAGGTAGATGGTTTTGGTAGGAAGAGAGGATGTCAGTGCCAGTAAGTTAAGGCAGTTGTTAACCACATACAGAACAGTGTACATAACTCTTGTTGCCAAGTTCAAGTGCTACCAATTCCAGCTGCAGCAGCTGCTCAACAACACCACTAAAATGCTCAGGGGGAGACTTTTGTTTTAATTAGACTCAACAAATCGTGACATATTCTTGGAGGTGAAAATGAAATATTCACCGAGAAGCTGAAGTTATCTGTGTTGGAACAGAACTCAAATTAGTTAAATTTTAATTCTTATTTTTTTGCATAAAAGTTCTTTAATATAATAGTAGTGTCAGAAATTTTGTCTTCTAAGTCAGCACAATTCCTATTTTTTTTGCACGTCACAACTCTTCTGTCTGCAGATGCTTTTTGAAAATACCTGCACTGGATGTGCAGGTTTTTTATTGTTGCTAATTATTGTACATCCCCAGTAACTCCAGGCAATGTTGTGTTTTATAACCAGGAAATGTTATTGCAGATATTTGTCCAAAGTAACTCCAGGCAATGTTGTGTTTCATAACTAGGAAATGTTATTGCAGATATTTGTCCAGCCTCTTATAAGAGCTGGAATTTAAGAAACTTCAAAGTTACTGAAGGTTTGATTGACAAAACTCTTAGCATCAGTGTCTCACATTTTTCTTTCATGACAGTTTTAACTGTGATAGATAGCTTGGACTAAGTCTGCTCATTTCTCTCTCACAATGTGCACTTAAGAGAATTTCTGTTGGATTTTTTTTCCCGTGGAAGAGGACTTTTGAAGTAAGTAATACCAGGACCCCTGGAAGAGGACTTTTGAAGTAAGTAATACCAGGAAAAACTAAATCTTGATAAAGAACTGAATATTGGAAAGAGTTTTAATGATGTTGATATTCCTAACCTCCGGTTTATTCAGGCTTTGGTGAGTAGTCTCTGCACAAAGATCAGCATTGTGTTCTATTTTTAGCACAAAAAGAAAAACACGCACAAAAAAGTAACTTGTGCCTGTTCCATTGTACACATCCTTTCTTTGTTTTATGCCTTGTTTTCATTTTCTTTGTGCTTTCTCAGTGTTTGTGCAATGCAAAGGAGCTTTGTCACTCTTGGTACTGTTTGTACATATCACAGAAAACAGGTCTAATAAATATCTGTTTTCTTTATACACTGGCAGAAAAGTGCTGCAGTGCTTTAGTGGCTGAGCTTTGAGCTTGCTGGTAAATCATGGCTCTTAGAAGTTTAAAGTTCCAATAGAATCTGTTGGGTTATACGACAAGGAACTGCTTCAGTCCATATAATGACTTGGAGAGGGAGGTAGTGTCTGAAGAGTTTGACTTCTACAACTGACTCTTGCTAAAAATGTCATACCAGTGACTCATTGATCTAACCAAAGGGAACCACAGAGTTTCACTGGGAAGGGTACAGAAACAACAAAATTAAACTGCTTAAAAGTTTTTCCATGCTAATTACAGTTAAGTGTGTCAAGATCTTTCTGAAACTCCAAAGAGTTTCTCTTTGGAAACTTACCCAGGTGAGCAACTTGCTGTCTTAATTTCCTTTTTCTCTCAAGATCCGACTCTAACGTGAATTCTTTCAGCTAAGGCAGTGCAACATGGCCATACTGAGCCATTTGCTACTGTAAATTACTTTCATTAATATTGAAAAATAAATTAATAATGAGTATCTCAGCATTAGATTTTCTGTCTGAAGAGTATCATAGTCTGCTGAGCTGTCATTTCTTGTTTCTCTTGTCTTACATGCGTGCAGGCATGCCAAAGGTTAGTCAGCAAACTCACCATGGGTGTAGTTTGTACCCAAACAACTGTAAAGGGTGAGTAGAGCTCGTTACCTAACCATTGTTAGCCCTCTGCTAACACACTTTTAACCCTCTGTTGGAAAATCCAAGTGTAGAGCATGTAAAATCACACCATTCATACTGTCTTGTCTGACTGTTTCATGGCTTTCATATCATCCAGATAATGCTACTAGCAGTGGCATTAGTGAGTCTTGAAACTGGAAGAAAGATGTGTTTAGAACGAGGCCAATATAAGAATTCATTGGAACTGGTACCCTGTTTTCTTTAGTGAGGCAATGGTACTGTCCCTGGAAAGTGTGCATGAGTGTCTGTTCAAAAATTAGCCCCACAGTTACTGGAACAGTGATTCTGTCTATCTGTGATTCTTTACCATGAAAGTGCAGAGGACACTTTTCTTTCAAAATCTGACCCATTCAATGTCTACCAAAAGTCAAATTTTCAATTCTCTACTAAAACATGATTAACATTGGCAAATCTCTATTTTCTGGTGTCTAAATACTGCTGATCTTTCACAAATTGGTTATTATCAGGCACTCTGTCATGCTTTGAAGTTTTGTGGAAGACACAATGGTCTGAGAAAATCTGTAAAAACTCATCCCACAAATGAACAAACAGAAGGTTGTTCTGTTCTGCTCTCCCTAGACCTCCCAGGTCTGTGTTCTTTATTTACCTGGGCTATTTGTGGAAGGAGTGAGGAATGTGGAAATTTGTTTGTAGATGTGATTATCATTGTTAGAAATGTCAGCAGAGATCCATATCTCTCTCATTTTCTGGTTACTTCTATTCAGAATTAATTTCTGGGTGCATGAAATTGGAGAACAAGGATGTAATGTCTGGTTCAGTAATAGCAGAATCATGATTTTAAAAACAGTTGTTAGCATATTAATAAGGAATTCAGACCTAAATGATATTTCTCCTTTTTAAAATTAGAATGCTTTCCAAAAGAAAAGTCACTTGAAAAAATGCCCAGTACTGAATTCATAGCGTATACAAGAACTGTAAAATATATTCATTCAGTACAAATCATTGTCTAGTAGTTTGTTTGGTGGTCTAAGACATAAAGGACTGCAACTACTCTCAGAACTTGCTTATATCAAAGAATTTGATAAAAGACCCATGTCAGTTAATTTAAAATTCTCTACTTCTGTAGCTTATGCTGCTGTTTATTTGAAATTGCCTCTCTTGACAGCATTTCATCAGGTGGTACAGACAGACAGAAACTGTTTCAGTTCCTCAGAGTACCTCAAGTGAGAGTATTTGGGGATCTGGAGAGGAAAATGAGAACATCAAAACACAAGTCTTGCTAGAAAACCTTGAAAAAGATGGCAAACCGGATTAAACATCATGTTTTGGTTTCTGCTTGCTGCTGTGTGTCTCAGCTATTCAGAGATATATCTCAAGGCACTTGTGAATCAAACAATACTTTTCTATTTAATGGCTTCAAAAGAGGGAGAAATAAAATGCAGAGTAACCTGCCCTTTAAGAGAAAAAAAATTGTAGGTTATCTTTTTGCTTTTTAAATTATATGTATCTATTTATTATTTCTATGTATTAGAGTATGCATTTTTATTCCTCCTCCTCCTGCATTTGTGTTTCTGTTCTTGGTTTTGAACACTGGGTTGCTTCAACATCCTCCAAAGAATTACCTCTTTTTGATTCATGTGCCTTACTCTTTTAATCTTTCTTTTCCATGTAAACCCCTCCTTTACTACATGAAGTTTCAAAACTTATTTTTCACATCTCCTTTATTTAGAATCAAGTTTTGAAGTGATGGTTGGAACAGAAGGGAAAGAACTAACACCCACCAGCCAAACAGTTTGTTGTTCCTTTTGTCTTTTTATATCAGGGAAAAATGCTGATTC